TGTTCGTAGTAGTGCTTGAGGGGGCGTCCCTTTGCCTTGTTGTCTTTGGGTTTTTTGTTCTTTTTTTTTTCCTGGTGTGTTGTGTCTTTGAAAGAAGCATGTTGAGTGTTTGGGTGACCTTGTGGTTGTGAATATATAAGGATGTGGGACTAAATAAATCTTTTAGCTGCGTTTGAGACGTTCTCTTCTTCACTTGTCTCTGTCCCTTCTACTTTTAAGTTTCTGTTTCTACCCCAGTCTCGGGTTAAGTTCCATCATTCAAAACTGAGTTGTTCTGTAACGTTGGTGTCCATTGACCATGGGCCTGCGCCTCTGACTGGGCTGGGGTTTCCGCAGTGTCGGCGAGAATCCTTTTTCGCTTTTTCTTTCTCTCCTTTTCTTTTTTTTTTTTTTTTTGTGCTGCAGGTTTTTTGGGTTGGACCTTCGATCTTTTTGCTCTCATCAGCATCGCTTTCCGAGTGCAAATAAATATTACCACTACCAAAACAAGATAAACTGCTCCCGACACGTGACTTTTGGGGGCCATTAGAAGCCGTTGACGCCGTTCTGAACGAAACGGCAAGCCGGACCGCCAGAGTTCACCTTTGTCGTGTATGTGACCGGCGAGTGAAAGCTTAGTGGCTCTAGGCTGTTCAACCCTTCAATAGTATGTTCCCTTTCTATTCCCGAAATATTTTACTGAGGAAAAATGCTCGACATAGCGTAAACTCCAAATATTTTGTTGGGAACGCACTTATTTGAGTGAATGACCTTTGAGCGAGTGAGACCTCGTCCACGATGTTTCAGCGAATGAGTTTAAACGAACAAAAAGTTAGGACTGAAACAAGCTGGTGAAGGTTTAAATTTTTAGACAAAACCCCGAGATTGAAGGGAAGGAAGGACTTCCGTTCCACCAATTGCGGGGTTTTGTCTAAAAAGAGTTTAAACGATTGTTTCCCATATCTTCCGATGTAATAAATTTTTCGTGGTATTATCCCCAGCGAATGAACGCTATCTAGGCATGAGAGACACGCATAGTATGGTCATAGAATAGTTTGATTTGGCGGAAAGGCGGAAAGACGAGCGTTTGGGGTCGTTGTAGTAACGGCACTAAAAGAAACTAGTCTGAGGTAAAATAACCCCTGGAGAAGGGGAACAAGAGGGACAAAGGACAAACACAAATCTCCAAACACAGCTAGGTGACTGGTGCGCGACCGAAAAACTACGCCTAAACCGGGTATCGAATCCGGGACCTCTCCATTTCGCTTGTGGAGCGCTGTACCAACTGAGCTAACCAGGGGTTAGACGTCAGTAGAGCAAACAGGTTTTATCAGCTGCGCCCAGTCTAACACCAACAAGGGTGAAAGGCTTGCCTTTTAAGGCTATGATTATAATGCAATTAAATGCAAAGCTGTAAGCGAGCTGGGCAAGAATGACGAAAATAATCCCTGGAGAAGGGGAGCAAGAGGGACAGAGGACAATTGCACAGCTCGCTTGCACCTTTCCATTTAATTGCATATTATAATCATAACCTTAAAATGCAAGCCTTTCACCTTTGTTGGTGTTAGACTGGTGGCAGCTGATAAAACTCGTTATCACTACTGACGTCTAACACCTGGTTAGTTCAGTTGGTAGAGCGCTCCACTGGAAATGGAGAGGTTCGATACCCGGCCGGACCAGTCGGATCTTTCGGTCGCGCACCAGTCACCTAGCTGTGTTTGGAGATTTCTCTTTGTACTTTGTCTGTCTTGTTCCCCTTGTCCAGGTATTATTTTCGTCATTCTTGCCCAGCTCGCTTGCACCTTTGCATTTAATTGCATTATAATCATTGTCTGAGTTGGTCGTTTAGGGAAGACTGGCAGAGCACCAGACTCTGCTTCCTATGATACAGCCCAAGGCGCCTTCGTAAGGGGGAAGAGCGACCGAACTGAAGTACAAATAAGAGACATCGAACCGAAAAAAAACATTCGATTTTAGGGGTGGCTATCCGGTAAGCGAAATGGTAAAAATCGAAACCCTAAACAGCCGAAACCAAACCGATTTCAAGAAAAAACGGACACCGTAATTTTTAATTCGTTATCGTTCGAGTTTCGGTTCCATTTTGAGATCGAAACGTTGAGGCAACAAAGCCGAGCTCCGTCTGTGGCTACGACTTCGGATTCTCGTTGTGCCGCCGGTACCACCGGTACCTCCGGTTAGTGTTAATTTGGTGGTGGTTTTTCACGCAGTCTACGCTTATTTTTCGACAGCTTCTTCCCAGCAGCAGACGCTCCAGGCGCCAAATGATCCAGCGACCGTGTTCATCGCTGTCCTAGCCTACGGCACCCTTGACGCAAGCGGAGGAGCCAAAAGGAACGCGCCGCCGCTCCACCGACCACCCCGATCAGTCGGAATCGGAGCCAGCGCTTCAAAAAGACACTGCTTCATAGAGCCGTGTGTGACACCGGCTTAAAGCGTGAGTTGTCAGCGCCTCTGCAGCACCACAAAACGGCATCCGATGCATGCAACGGGGCCCCTGTAACGCCACCGCCGTTAATCGGCCGGTAAAGACAACCATCGCTGGCAGCCATCAGCAGCGATGCTTTCGCTGCTTTCGCTCTAACGGGGTCCCCCTGTATGGCGTCGGAGGTTCGCATGGAGCCCCGATTTCACTGTCGCGGCGACATGTTAACCCGAGGGATTACCCCGGAAAGTTTGTTCGCCGTGTGCGGTGTAGCTGCCTGCAGCATGTATCGCCTACTACGCGATCCTTTTGTTGCTACTCGGACTTCCTAGTGCTTCGAATAAGCGGGGCATAGCGTAGCACAACCCCGAAACTATTGATGAGTCGCGATGCTCTGCATTTCCGGCCGCGCAGTTGTGCGCACAACGTCATTGGTGCGGGTGACAGAAGCTGAAATCATTTTGAAAGGCTGCTCATAGTTTTGTGCCAAGGTTAGTCAAGTAAGAAGGTCGGTGACGATAGGAAGCATCTTTCGAATGCTTTAATGCTTCAGAAAGGTTTAGAGACGTGCTTTGGGCACGCAGGCAGAAAGTTACCAAAACCAATCGTCATTCCACATCCCGCTTAGATTTAAAAGAAAAGAAAAGACAACATTCTTTAGCTGTTTCGACGACTCTGGAAGACTGTCGATCTTGGTCAGGGATGTACAATGGTTCCATCTTGCAGTACAAAAGCAAGACTCCTCGACATGCCATAGGCACACCACCGTTCAATAGATAGCACGCTAATTCATTCCGAGGTAAGTTGCACAAACAAATCTTTTCTTGGACTTCTTTACCCACCGAATTTTCCGTCCTCACAGCCATCATGTTTGGGAAGCAACACACGGAGCGCGAAGAAGCGGCCCGTGCTCTGCGCATATGTCGGTGCCCGAAGAGCGTGTTCGAACGTCACCGGTAGTGCTCCTGCCCGGAACATGGGACTTAACGTGCCCTTTGTTTGCTGCGCTGTAAAACACCTGAGCGTGTGCCATAGCTCTGTTCCGCGGGACATAAAGCGTCGCGGCCGTGTTCACAACTTTGGTGACTCGGCATTTGTTGCATAAGGGCTAGAAAGGCGCTGTTGCACAAGGAGTACCCAATGTTCACGTTCGATATATCGGGAACTTGAGCGAGGCCATTCACGCTGCACTGGTAGAAGAATTTCAATCCCTGGTGGAGACGTGCATGGCACTTCATGAGGCTGGGCTGGCTTCTTGCTGCTCGAATATTCGCAGAAGAAATCTGCGAACGTCATGTTCTTTTTACAGTTTGGAACACTGTGCTATTGCGGTACACGACTCGTGCATGGCGTCATCACACCCCATGCGTGGTCGGTCAGTCCTGCATTTTTGTGCCGAGAACAAAATCTGCGGAGTGAATTTGTGCTACGTATGGCATGCGCTCAGAGCGAGACCAGCACAGTGACAGCTGATGTTACGTCGGTGCAAGCCATGCATGCAGACGAAAAGTGCCGCTTTACTTATTGCAGGGCCTCAATGTTTCCGCTCGTATCTTTCATCATCAAGTCGCGCTTCGCTGCGTTGATTGCCACACAGCGGAGCAGATGCCCATGCGTGGGCGGAGCGACACGCCATACGAAGCTGCAAACTCATTGCAGACGACTCAATTGTGTGCCCTTGGTGGAGCCTAAGAAAGGGCTTCAGCAGACTTGGTTACAGCAATGCGCTAGTCCCTCGCTGCAAGCAACTAGCTATGCCCCATCATTGGTGTAGTGCAAAAGTTTTATTGGTGCTCAGTTACGTGGAATATTTTCAAAAGTGCCTTGGGCAACACTGGCAGCTGCTGTATTTTGGGTGCCACTCTCTGCGCGAAGCTTACGTTTGGATCCGAGAGCGCGCTGGCTGGTCACATAGCAGTCGTGCCGAATGGATGTGGACCCGAGTACGCTTAAGCGCTGATACAGTACTCGTGTTCAATAAATATTCAACGGACGTGTCCAAATAGGGTGACCTCGAAGCAGCTACTGGAGGGCACACACTTTTAAAAAAGTTCTAATCCATGTTAAAGAAAGAACTCGTTAAGCATCTACATATTTGTTTATAGCACAGGACATTTGGAATCGCACGGTGCCTACGTTGCGTGTACTCCCCTTAATTTCGTGTGGTCCGGTGGAAAGCTGCACGAATGTGTGCCTGCAGTTTCTTGAGCCTGACCTGGAACGAAAGGCATAATCATCCCACTAATGCGTGATTCTGGCGGCACAACCATCCAATGTTCCTTGATGTGGCATAATGGCTGAGCCAGTTCCTTCGTCTATCAGACGAAACTGGTGTGTCCTCTGGTCGGCATGACCGCGCCGTCTTTCGGCTACTGGGCGTGCCTTGTCTAGCCTTCTTATGGGTATGAAACAGTCTGCTTTGCTGCAGTGTGGCCGTACCTGCATCAAATATATATATATATATATATATATATATATATATATATATATATATATATATATATATATATATATATATATATATATATATATATATATATATATAGAGCAGCTCTGATAAACTTGCACCAGTTTCCCCAAATCCAGTATGGTGGACAGTGCTCCTTGGTGGTGGAGCATAGGGTTGATGCAACATCTAAGACAAACTGCACTGTGCCGAACGAATGAATGGATGGGTAAATATGGCTGAACCCTTTAAATTTGGTGAGCTCTTGTTGTACCTAGTGTCGTTGGAGCCGACAGCAAGCATTGTTATGCTTTAATCGTGTTTTGTGCATGCTTTGTTCAGCGAAGAGTTCTTGTCAGCTGCTCGTTGCAGGTCTGGTGTGTCCCTGTATCTTCTGGGATAATGGACACTGAGTGCCATTGAGAATGAGAAAAAGAAAAAATATCACTTTATAATAACGCAAGCAGAGCTCGACGACTTGAATAATCGCTTTTTGTAGAAGAAATGGCCTAGGCGTAGTATGCTGTTGACTTCAGCAGGTCTGATTTTGCTTGGCATATTGTGCAAGTTCTTCAAAAAGTCGTTTTCTGCTCTTTTTATGTATTGATGATGAGGAATTGGATTCCTTTGTTACTTGCTTTACCTCGGCACCTCACTATCATTGAAGCGTTTTATAACACCTTCTGGAAAGTTTGTCGCTTTTGGGTGCTCCTTGCCGTCGCAGCAATCCTTGTTTCGCTGCGATGGTAAGTGACCTTATCGTCCTCGCTGTAGGATCAGCTAGTCAGGTGTTCAGTACCTCTCCAAGGTGTGTTTGTTCCAGCAAGCCATCTCGGCAGACTGCTCATCCGTGCAGTCTACTGGTCTGTGCAGTCTGCTATTTGCACTCCTGGTCACAATGCTTGCTAGGACTGCACTCCGGCATGCCATTGATTTTTTTCGCGTGTTGGGGCAACGCAGTGTTGCCTCAACACGTGGTGTGGCTGCTGAAAGCGCAGTGACTGCTATCATCCACCATAATCCTCGCACACGCCATCGAAATCGTCATTTATCCAACTGATGAGAAGTAACCAGGATCATAGCCATTGAGGCGAATGCTGGTCGTGATACCAGCAGTGCGCTTGCATCTGGATGTGCTGTGAGTCGAAAATTGCCTCGCTTAGCCGGCAACCATATGGTGAGTTAGTCGACCAAAATGTGTCCCTTGGTGTGTGAGAGTGGAGGTACGAGAAAGTGAGGGGCCTCTCTCTGCATGAGAGATGAGGCGTGAAAATGTGAGGGGGGTGATTACGCCTTTGACAAAGCTGTGCTTCAGCAGGTGCTACTCTCCTTGGTGGGTAGCAAACCCACCAAGGAGAGTACCAAGGAGAGCACCAAGGAGAGCAGGTGCACTCCTTGGTGGGATGTCTGCTGTGAGTTTTTTAATCATTGTAGTGCACCTGGTAGTGGCTAGTCGACAAAAAAAATTTACCCTTCAAACTGCTTTCTTTTCTTTCTCGCAGGTGAAGTCCTGGTTTTTAACGAGCCAGTGGATTTACGTAAGACATATAATGGGCAAAGCGTCATTGTTATGACTAACCGACAACACCGGCGCTCGGCCGTGACACCTGGTGCTGCTGATGCGCAAGGAGCAGACGAAATTGCTTACGCTGATTGAACAGTACAGTGGATAGACACAAAGACATTTGTGTGTAACCACTATATCTTCCATTTAAAGCTCAATACCAGAATGTGTGTTTTCCTGCTGAAGGAACAGACATACTTGATTGCCATATAGGATGGCGGTACTTATGGACGGTGGAATATCCAGTGCTTTGGAACATAGGAAACAGTGTCATCGTTTTTGAATCGATGGCAATTTTGCTTCTTTGCAGACTGAAATGATATCCATTTATTCTCCTTGCCAAAATCTTTTTTTTTTTTAATGCTGATGTATCTGGTAAACCTGGAATCTATCTGACGATCAGCGTCACTTGCTGGAAGGTGCCATACTGAGGCTGCCATAAATGGCCATCAACATGGCAGGCTTCACCGCATTTTGTCAGAGTGCTCGTGGCAAGCTCTTTGTCCAGGGTGCTAATGGAGCTGCGGCTTCATTCCGCTCACGTGGACATGGGTCATCTATGACTTCATTCCAGCTGGACAGCTTCCACCTACGTTTTATGTTGTGGGGCTCATACCTGGAGTGCAAGGCCTGACGATTCATGGCCCTCATTCTGTTTAGGGTGGCTGTTCGTAGCATTTACCCTCTGGAAATCTTGTGAAGCGTGGATGTTCTAGTTGCGGATTCTTCATGCACAATTGATGCTTCGTTTTAGGGTAACTCTTCCTGAAGTTTGTGCTAGAGAGTGCCAACTTGCAGGGCAGCTTCTTTGCTTCACAAAGCGATGGAGCTTATTTTTAAGAAAAGTCCAAGAAATCTATGGTGCCCAAGCCTAAGATCATAGCCCAGTGGTCTTCAAGGACACCGAGTTACGGTTACAACACAATGCTGACTCGTTTGTACATATACAGGGTGTCCGAAAAGTCTGGAATCATAGAGAATGGTATTTAAATAACCCCCTTTATTCATAGCACACAGATGCAGCCGATGCTACCATTCAATTAATTCCCGGTTGATTATGTGATCAATCCGCTGCATACCTGATTTTGGATTCCAGGTGTTGCAGATTAACAACAATCTTTATAGCCTAAACTACGGCTATTAAGTCAACTCAAGAACTGATGTCGGGTGTAAGCTTAGTGGGGGCCACTCCACGCTACTTTGGCGACCTACCTGGTGCCCTGGAAACTGATAGTCAAAGTATTCTCGTTCAACAGTGACACAATAGCTGTTGAAACATTCCATTCAAACCAACCTAGATGCTTGGCTTCTGGGTTCAGCAGTCTGGGCATTGCCTTGGAATCCATGGCCAGGTAGAGGACCTGGTGCGTTTGTTTGAAGGTGCGTCTGTAGAATGGACAAAAAAAAATTTGATTCTTCCCCTTTCCACGGGCCATTGTGGATTTTCGGGAGATTACAAACGGGCAGTGTGTTGAATGACTTCGCCCGACATATAGAGGTTTGCCTCGTCGGAAAACTGCCTGAATTGAGAATGTCCCATTTGCCTTGGACGTAGCTCGTACCCATTGACAGAATTCCATGTGCCTCCCAAGATGGTCCTCATTTAACTTCTGAAGCAATAGCAGTGTGAAGGGATGCCACCTATGAAACCTCAGGTCTGTTCGCGCAAAGATATGGCGAACTGACTCCCGAAAGCACGTACCGTAGGACGCAAAAAGTGCATCGCTGGTTTTGTAATCGGTGGCACTCATTGGCCGACCACTTTGAGGTTTGTTGTCCGCGCGTCCTCTCTCCAGGAATGTTTTCATGCATTTACTCGAAGAGTCTTTGGTGATTGCTTGCTGTTTAGGAAGTAAACAGTTCAACTCCTCAGCCACTCCTCGTTGACTGGCTGCAAACCTCAAGAGCGACCTCAATGCATTCCCCCTTAGTCGGAGCCATCTTCATCTACTTGAGATGAAAAGAAAACAAAGAAATTCACAATTCCAGACTTTTAAAGACAGCCTGTAGCACACCCCGTTACTGCTTCCGCCCTCGAAGAACCATCTCGACGGGTCGAGGCAGTGGCAAAACTCTGGGGGCACGTCCCCGGACATCAATTCCGCACGCCGTAGGGGTGCCGGCTGGTGCCCGACATCTTTTCCGGTGCCATGTTTTCTCCTTTCCCACCCAGGATGCCAAACGACGCAACTCCGGGGCCGAGCGGGGACGTGGCCGCCCCCGCCCAGCTTTCCAGACGCCAACGCCGGGCGACCAGAGCCCGCGGTGGAAACCACAGCTTCGAACCTCGTGGTGGCCACACGCCCCGCGGCAACCACACTCCCCGCGGCGGCAACGCTCCCCGCGGTGACCACACTCCCCGTGGCGGCTTCAACAACCGCGGCGGCTTCAACCCCCGCGGTGGCATCGGCCCCCGCGGCGGCTTCGGCCCTCGCGGCGGCTACAACCCTCGCGGTGGTTTCAACCCCCGCGGCGGATACAATCCCGGCTTTTCCCCGCGCGGGAATATCATGGGGCCACGGGGCGGGGCCAACCGCGGTTTCATGTCTCGCGGCGGTGGCGCCGTCAAGAAGCCGCACCCCGTGACAAAGCATTCCGTGGCCACGTGGACCGTGCAGTTGGGTGAGACGGTCTATTCGTACGTGTCGCGTCTGCGCTGGCGCGAGCAGGGGCGCCCGACGCGGGACGCAGCTCCGGAGAGCGTTGTGGAGCCGTTCAAGGGCCGCACGCTTATGGACCGCCACCCGAACGAGCCGAAGCCGGTGTACACTGAGGAGGAGCGCGAGCAGCTGTGTCCGTTGTGCGGGACCTTGGTGGTCCACTGGGACACGCACACGGCGGGAAAGCTCCACGAGGAGAGACTGAAGGCGCCCAAGGAAATGCCCACGGAGCCGACGCAGATGGACGTCGTGGCCGCGCTGCGCGTGCTCCAGGCGACGCGGCCAGACATTATCGCCGCGTCGCTGGCAGCGGCGCCGCATGCCGCTCAGCTGGTGGCGGGACGGGACTTAGCGGCAGGGCCTTCTCGCGACAGTTATGGGTCACGCGGCGACTACGAGCTGTCGCGCGGCGGGTACGAGTCGTCTCCCGACGGCTACGGAGGGCCTCGCGACGACTTCGGGCGGTCTCGATACGACTACGGCCCGGCTTACGACGACCTTGGGCCTTTGGACGACGACCTTCGGCGCTCACGTGATGGCTTGGGGGACTTGGCCGACGAGGACCTGGACGGGGTTCCTGCTGATCACCTGGACGACCTGTATCCGCTTCCAATGTAAGGCTGAACCTGAGTGTGGTGGGCGCGTGTCGCAACGGTGCTCTTTGGGTGTTGCTTAGGTGCACTTTACACTACCGTAATATCGTGAGAGATAGCCCATGTAAAATGGAAAGCCAATCTGTTGAAACTAAGGAGTAGGCTCTTTCGGTGTGAAAAAAATTGTAGAGGAAGTGCTCGTTTATGATTCTCTGACCTGCGAAACTTGTAATTGCATGGAAGTGCGAGGAACTTTATTTATTTATTTATTCGTTTACCCTAAGGTCCCTTTCGGGCATTACATAGGGGGGAATTCATACAAAAGGAACATGTTGACAGTAGTGATACACAGAAAACAGGAAAAAAAAGAAAAGAAAGCCGCGGCACACAAAAAAGCAGTACATATAATCACAAAAATCAATTGCTGCACTTCAATGGTAACATTATACAAATACAAAAAGAAAACCAAGGACACACTGCAGAACTATGGCTTATCTGCGACGAGGGGCAAACATGATTATGTTTTTTGTCCTTCCTAGTCATCAATGTTCGCTTATCTCCTGCCGTGGCTAAGTTGCACCATTTCTTCTGAGGCCAACATTGGCCAGTGCCCTGCAATTACTAGAAAGGGGCTATGTTTCGGTGCCTTTGAAAAAAAATAGCTAAGCAGGCCAAAAATTTCGCTATCTTTATACACCAACTCATCTCTGTGACGTCACGGCGCGGTGGTGGCGCGTCGGTCGCACTTCCGGTCTGGGGCTGTGGGCAGAAGTCCCCATGCCAGACGTGTATTCCTGTGTTGTTTTGAAAGGAACCAGACAAAAACCTGCCTTCTCGTCAAAACGCCGCGACTGGGGCCGTGCCAAAAGTGTCGAGAAAGGTTTGAAGGTCAATTTTCAGGTGCTCGGTTCGTCTGAGAATCTGGATATGTGCCGTAAAAAGGGAAAACAGACGCCGTCGGACAACGATTGCTTGGGCGGGAAGCACTTTGAGTTGAATTCACGGATACTTGTGGTCATCAGATTTATTTGTTTTGGTGCAACATGAACGCCAGAAAACCATCAAGTTGTGCGGACCACCTGCGGACTACGTTCAGTGCGTCTTCAAGTTCAAACGGCCGCCTGATCGTTCGAGCTGTCGTCTGCTCTCTCAAACGTTTCTGCTTGTCGTCTGCTCTCTTATACGACGCCGGCCCGTATATTTTGGCCCTGCATTTGCGATAAGAAGTAAGTGCAGCCCTCAAAAGACTTACGTTTGAAGGTTGGTAAGCAGGCTCGATGTAAACAGTGAATACAAGATGTTGATCATTGTTACCAGTGAATATCACTGACTATCTATGCCTAATTTACTTGGTCCGATTCTGCTTGCGATTTTCAGTATCGACGTCGACCATTTTAGCTACGGTTCACGCTTTTGCAGCCCGAGCGGCGTCGCGACTGAAAATTGCGAGCTAAATCTCATCATGCGAATCAGGTTCTAGCGTACATACTGCGGCGTCCACGCGGAATGAATCGCCACATGTCACATTCGCGCGAAGTTTCGCGGTGTAACGAGCCTCGGTAATTTCGCTGACGCCGCTCAATTAGTCAGACATCGCCAGGAAGACGTAAAATCAACAATTCGAACGCGAAAAAGAGCAGGGGGACTCACACCTACGCCGATAACATCGCACTTCAATGGTTTGTCTATGGGCGACGGCGAGGTTCTTGCCCACACCCCCCTCGCGCATGCGCGGCGCCGGTGGCGTCCGCTAGGGGCGCTCCGGTTTGTTTGTAAACATGAGTTGGTGTATATTCGGGCCAAAAATGTGGGTATAAAGTATCTCGGAGTGTGTGTGTGTGTTGGGGGAGGGGAGGGGAGGGGAGGGAAGGAGGAAGAAGGAAGGAAGGGAGGGGGGGTTCATCTTGGGATATTGCGGTATGTATATGGTTTGGTCGAGAAACCCTTTTCATAAGTGCGCTATCTAGTGGCTGCAGCACCAATTGTCTCAGGCTGCCACAGTTTCATGACATTCCCTGAGCTTTCATTCAATACGAGGGCTGTGTGTGCATTCAGCCTGAGCCGTATAGTGGGACAGTTTGGCCAGTCTATGATGTCGCCACCGTAGCGTCCCCCTCCCGAGTGAACCAATCGACCCGCGGCGCAGAGCGAGAGGTGTGAGCGCATGCGCGTGAACTTTTGGCTGCTCCCAGCTGAGCGGGGAGGGCTGCGATTTTCATTCATTCGCCCGGTGGAATGCATAGAATCGACATCCTAATTTTGGTTCTTTCCTTTTATTTGGCAGAATCTGGCAAGAAAATGATTTAGTGTTATTCCTCGATGGCTTCAAAAGCTAACGAATTAAGTTTCTCTGCTTTTGAACACAAACATTGATTCAGGCAAAAAAGAAATAAGCTCGTAGCAGATGACGAAAAAAAAAGTCAAATTTGGGGGTTTTACGTGCCAAACCAACGACGGGCATCTGGCACGCCCCAGCGGGGGACTGAGGATTGATTTCAACCACCTGGGGATCTTTTGACGTGCAACTGAAAGCTCGGTTACATGGCGCCTTCTCTGCAATAAGCCTCCGTCAGATTGCGGGCACCTCGGCCGGGATTCAAACCCGCCACATGGGGATCCGTAGGCCGGCGCTCTCGCCTCGGAGCCACCGAGGCGGCTGTAGCAGACGACGCGGAGCCTCAACAGTGCCCTGCGCTGACAGCGTTACGTCAAAATGGCGGTCGTCTTCTCTTTGCTCCCTTCTTTCTCTCTTGTCCTTCGGCGCTCTCCTCCCTTTCCTTTACTTTTCTCCTCTCCGGCGCCTTCGTCGCCACACCCACTGGCCAAACTCTTCCAATATACTGCTCTGCATTCAGCACCAGCTCTACTCGGCATGTAACGAGACTGAGCGCTGCACCAGCGTTCAGCGAGGATTTGGGTTTAATCGCACACTTTTGTGCCCGAAAAATGGCGATCGTGAATGTTGCTCGACGAATCTTTGAAAGGGGTCTAATGATCTAGTCATCCTGCTCGTTCTACCCATTGTAGCTAAATGGGTGTTATCTTTCTGGCGTTCTGTAGGCACATTTAGCTCTTGCCCAACCTTAACCTTCATTCTACGTCTTCAAATGCACGACGTACAAACTCGTGGGTTCATAAGGGGCTTCTGCTGCAGGATTTCACACAAAGTGCGACATTTTATTCTGATCATTCATTGAAAGATACAAGCATGTGCTGTCGGTTTTCGTCCACCCAATTATTCGAGTCGTATCAAAGCTTGAACTGGCTTCTTGCTGTAGTCGCCTTATTCTTCGGTGTTAAGAAGGGCGTGCGAAAAATTGTACAGAAATTCACATCCCTTCGTGTGTTACGAAAGCAGGAGCTGCCGCAAAGCTAGCCAGCTGCCAAATCGATTTTGTCTATTGGTCTGGTGCTTCGTCACCTCTTGCTACGGCCACGCTTATTGCTCGAGCCGAGTGACCCGCAGCGACAAGAATACTTGTGTGGCATTTTTGTTGAAAAGATCTCATTCTCTGGGTGCAAAGGCTCGTTCGTGCAGCTGTGTCGACTGCGTTGCGCCACGTCGCGTCGTGCAGCACGGTGCCTCCCCACTGGCTCGTCGTAAGGGTCACCATAGCAACAGCGTGTCCGTCGGCGGTGACGGACGCGCCTAAAACACAACCAAACCACTGTGATGCATTTTCAAAAAGAAACAACCTTGACCGTCGGAAGGTGAATGCAATTACGGACAAAGCTGTTAGTCAGATGAACAGAGCTTCGGAGTCGTGGCACTGCGAACTGTTTCTTCCGTTCACTTTTACAGGCGAGGACGCTCTCCAGACGACGACCTCTACATGCCACCGGCCAAGTTCCCACGAGGTGATTATCGACAGTTTCATTTCATTTCATTTATTGACCCTTAAAGGCCCCATTGGGGCATTACATAAAAGGGAGGACAGTACCGAAAGTGGAAGAGGAGAGCCCAGGTGCATTTGTTTCGGTTGACCGTTTATTGTGGTAGCGTCCCACATGAAAATCGGAGCATCCTCATCTGGATTATGAAAGTTGTCCCAGCTGAATCCAGCTGTGAATGAGGTGATCTAACTGGATCCAGCCTAGACCAATTTCCCAATCCAGCTGGAAGTGAACTAATCTTTACTGGGGGTGTGGCTTTTATGCAATCCTGCCCATCTTGTTTCTTTTCTGTGTTAGATGAAATGATGCTCAAGTTTTTGTGCGTGCAGTTCAATCTTCTAATTGCGTTATTACGATGTAAGCATCAGTGCTTGGTGAAAGTGCATTGGCATGACTCAAGTCATCCCCAAAAGAAACAGATGAAGACGTTACTTGAAATGCACAAAACACATTTACAATGCAAAAGCTATTCTAAGCCTAGTGTTGAGAATAAGTGCATATTTGTCGGCTTAAACGCCTTTCCTTCAATTCCTTATTAAGCTTTTGACGTTGAAGTACAGACTTGAAGGGCATGACATTACATGCAAAAGAGGTTGCTGATTTTGGTCTCTGAACTGAAAGGCTAGTCATCAAGACAATATCATTGTCATAGAATCCCTTAAAGAGAAACTCTACTTCATTTTTGTTTTTGAAAAAACAATGCAGTCCTTTTAAGTATCACCTAGGAAGACCACACGTCAAATGTTACGACGTAGTTCTGTCTAAATGTTTTTTTTAAACGGTTCGGCAAACTTTGCAACTCACCGAGTTGCCAAGATCGGCTGACCCGAGTGGCTGAATTGAGGTGCAACCAACAGCGCAGTCAAGACTACGGCGTGGGCGTAGCCAGCATTGGAGCCAAACGTCATCACCATTGCCCCCTTTTGCTTGTTTTTATTTCACCGGGCAAGCGGAACGGGTGACGTTCGCAACGTTTCGTCTTGGCGCGCCTGTGCAGCGCGCTTCTTGGGAGCCGTCCAGCCGCCCCGCCGTTACCGCCGTCGTCGTCTCATTGTTTGTGATTATTGCCTCCCGGAGTTTCATCCACACTACGGACACTATGTGCGCAGACTGATGCCACGGTTGTGCAGACGTCATAGAATGTCATAGACACCAAAACGTGGTAAAAAGTGCGGTGCAGACAACATATGCACCTGGCCTCGCCCGTTCCAATCCCTCCCGTCAATGTGTAGAGGATCACAGGACATCTTGTACCACGTGATAGCCATGTTCGTGGCGGCCCAAGGCCAATGTTGCTGGACAGAGCCGAAGTTTCGGTTTCCACTTCTGCTCGTGTTTAAAATTAGACTTAAAAACATATATCCCATTTTTCACAATACAAATGAAATAGTGTTTTTTACTAGGGCTTTTTACTGTGAAATCACTCATTATCCAGAAATCTTCGGAATTGAATGGGGGTTGCCCTTTAATGTGGGGAACCAACCTAGGGATAAAATGTTTCGAGTGTTTCTAGTACCTTGGTTGAGTGAAATATGAATGAGCACCAAAGTGGTGGGCATGCTAGCTCTGTAGCACACCACAGACGTCTGTCTAACAACTGTTGGAACTCTGTAAACCTGTTTGGGGATTCAATGGCAAGCCAGAAACCTTGATGCTGCTTGAGGTCAGTCTTAGGTAGGTTACTTTTTAAAAGTATTTAGTTGCGGTTACGGTTACTTTCGTAACAATGTATTTAAGTTACAGTGACATAAAAATAAGAGTGATGTGTTACAGTTACAGTTACTTTGGCAGAGTAACTTAGTTACTTTCAAGATGCTCATCTGTATGCAACTATGAAGACATGGATGACAGAACAAAATTAGCAACATTTGCATTTATATGTGAATTTCTGAAAGTTCTAAACTTTTCGAGATATATTTAATAATGCTGTGTTATTATTTACTCCATGTTGTATCGAAGCAGCAACTGCTTTTCAAAGTTCTTGGCGCTTAGCTTTCCCCTCTTGATGTTGAAAACGTCCCACCCCTTGCAGAAAAGACATTCAATAGGTGCGCTAGAAGGAAGTGCAGCATTGAGGCGTAAAAAATCTTAATGCTGGGAAAGTTGTTGAGGCTGGAAAACACCGTCGATGAGGTGTTAGTCTTCCATTGCTGTGCTTCACTGTTCAACTCAACACTAGGACGCAGTTGCTAGAAGGAGTCGTCGTAGTCACCATCGTATGTTGGCTCCCGCGTAACTTGCTCAGAATGGCACAGTGCGCTACATTCCTCTTTAAGACGCAGTTGAGAATGCGTTTTCTGCGCTTCATCCGTCCATAAAAATTAAAATTTTGGATGCACTGCTGTAGCGTGAAGGAGCTCGTTGGACCTGAGGTCTTCGGAAAATCTACGAATGAAATCAAAACATTTACTTACACCTGTAACATTAAACATTAAAAACAAATGTTTCATGAGTGGGTCCCAGTACAGTTTAAGCTGGTTATAACAGACCTTGATTTTGACCAAGATTTTGGTCTGTTGTAAAAGGAGTATGTTGTATGCAGCTATGAAGTTGAGTCGATGGCGCATAGAGGAAAACCAGCCGAACTTCACAAATCGGTATGTTATATCCAAATGTCTGTTGTAACCAGGTCTGTTATAATGAGCTTAGACTGTACAAGTGCATTAGCTGTTACGTCCACGGTATTCGCCATATGTTGCGCACCTTAATAAAAAATAATGTAGGAATATTGCAAGAAGGCCGTTAGGTCTATTATATAATAAATAATTTCAACAGTTTTGCTTATAATTTAATGAAAATATGTGCATTACTTCTCTTGATAATCGTGAATGAGCCTGCCTGGCAAACATAACTTTCTACAAAAAGGCGCTATGTACAAGGTCGCACATTTTCCAATGAATAAGAATCTGACCTCGTCATCATTGCTATCTTCACTGTGTCTACAAGCGAGCTGCAAAACTTGAGCATAGGCTGGGAATGTAACTGCTGCATCAGCACCACCAATGTCGGCACCAAAGCACCCATGACATGTACTGTTCACCTTGTAGGATGTCGAGCGCCTTGGCAACTCCTTTCATGGTCTAAGGAATAAAAAAAAAAGATTAAAAATATTGCGAAAATGTGAGAGAGCTTTTGGGCATACCTGGCAATACTCCTCGATAAAATTCTGATTGTCTTTTTGTAGACGCGGCAGTGCGAGGGCATTGCAGACAGCCTCCATCTTGTCCTACTGGGCCTCGTCAACAAACTTCATTGCATTATAGAGTGAATTCCAGCGAGTAGTGTTAGGAACCAAGAAGTATCTCCCTAGTTTCTTTTTGATGACTTCCACCACTCGGGTGGACTGGCCCCGCTTATTCCAAATAAGTTTCAGTTTTCCAAACACGGCCGTTGCCATCTGACGGTACGTGCTGATCGTGCATCCTTTGTCTACGTCCACAGTCGCCACTAAGTTCAAAGCATGCGCGACACATCTCCTGCGCTTGGGCAGGTGCAGCACTTCGCCTGAGGAGTTGTTCATGACAGGGCGAACATTCAAGAGGCTGGCGAGGTCTTCAGGAGTTGGGGTGCCTGCTTCCTCATCCTTGTGTGCCATCTCTCCCAAGTGGCTAATTAAAAGAAAAATGGAAATATTCTAAATAGCAACATCGAAAAATTAATACAAAATGTAGGCACTCGAAGTTTCATTGACGTAACCTACGATTTCGCGGCTTACGATATCAAGGGCACACCCAACGCTATATTTCTGCCGCGTTTTGGTGATAATGTACAGGGGAAATACGGTCTGGCAAGATGAATGTAATTTAGCCCGAGCCAAGAACCCCACTGATCTCCAGCTCCACATTTCCGACAATTTTTGAAGAGGTGAGAGAAATAATCTTGGATAGTCTGAATGTCAAGGACTTTACACTAACGTACTTACACAAGTCTGGGTTAAAGCCACTGGGCCAGCAAACGAAACATTCTTTATTTCTTGTTTTATTTTTGCTTTTGCTGTCAAAGGCCTAACTCCGTCTCTTCTTATCTACAGGCTGAACGCCACTGTAGCCATCCAGAGAGACAGCGTTCATTTTTACGAAAAGTAACTATACCGTATTTACCTGAAAATAGGTGGCCCCCTATTTTCTGAACCAACCCTCCGACAATAAAAAAAAAAAATAATTTGAATACAAGTTGACCCGCATTTTTAAAAGGAGGACAGAAAATTTTAACAAGACACACCTTTATTGCGTGCTCCGCTAGGCCTGCCTATTCGCTATCACAAGCTCCATCATCGTCCAAACTTCCAGAGAAGTCATCGTCGTCGGACGTTTCGCAGGTGTCCTCAGCACCCCAGATGACATCGTCTTCGGTGCCGTCGAGTGGATTCAAAATGCAACATTTTTTGAAGGCGGCCCGAATGATGCTCGCTGGCAGATCCTCCCATGCGTCTTTGACCCAAGATGCGACTTCGCTACATGGAGCCTTCTTCCGGCGCCCCGTCGGAGTCATGGCAGCGTCGTCCCTCGCCAGCCACTCTTTGTAGAGGACTGCAACACGGTCCTTGAATGGCTTATTTACAGCGACGTCCAAGGGTTGAAGTTAAGACGTCATACCGCCAGGGATGACTACCAGGTCAGTGCCGACCTGCTGGATGGCCTTCTTCACTCCCGGGCAAATGTGACCCCTAATCGAGTCCAGGACCAGCATGTTAGGGAGATTCAGGTCAGCTCCCGGGCGCTTCATCCATACGAGTTTGAACCACTCCTTTACCATCTCTTCGTCCATGAAACCCTTCTCGTTCGCCCGGATGAGGACCTTCTTTGGGAAGACTTCTTTTGGTATTGTCTTCCGGCAGAACACGCCGGAAACACAGCCGACAGACGGAAGCTGTGCAGCTCTGCTGCACAGCTTCCGTCCGTCGGCTGTGCAGCAGAGCATCACAGTAAATCGGGTATGCTTGTGTCCCGTTGTCAACAGGCGGACATCCTTGACTTCTTTTGTTGTCACTGTGGTGCGGCTCGGCATGTCAAAGTATACTGGGGTCTGGTCAGCATTCCCGAGCTGGCCGAGAAGGTAGTCTTTCTCGTGTTTCAGCTTGATGACGTGACGCTGGAATTCCACCAGTCGCTCCTCGTAGTTGGCCGGGAGTCGCTGGCAGATGGTGGTTCTACGACGGAGAGAGAGTCCGTTGCGTCGCATAAACTTCTGCAACCACCCCCTACTCGCTTTAAATGTTGACCGGCTAATCCCATCTCGTTAGGCCAACTCTCGAGCTTTGGTTTGGATGTCCTCACAAGACACCTGGAGTCCTTTAGCGCGCTTCTCTTTGACGTGAAGCCACAACTCTTCTTCGAGGGCATCATGCCTTCCGATTGTTGGGCCACGAAACGCACGACGCTGCCCTGAACAGGCAAAAAGATTGTCCCGTTGTTTCCGCCAGCCTCTGACGAGTTTTTCATTCTCATCGAACTTTCGTTGAGCGGCTAGTTGTTGGAGCTTTCGGCGAACAGGATAACTCGCCGCTTGAAATCAGCGGTGTAGCTCGTCCGCTTAGACATCGTCGGAATCGCAGGGCAAACGATACAGCAGCGGAATCGACGCGGATGGAAACAATTGCAAAATGGCGGCACCGGACGAAAGAAGTTTCGCTGAACGTAGCGATGCGAAACGACGCCGACGACGCTCACACATCCACGAGATAATTTCATACTTTGCTTCTCTTCTTTTCCGCGACTTGGCGCCACTGTACATCCGACTGCCACTCGCTTCATGTGCTCCGCTGCGACCGGAGACGACGGGAATCGGGTTCAGCGGCAAGGGATTTCTAACGCTTGTTTCTTGTCGTAATTTTATTCTTCTTTTATTTTTGCGTGTCTGTGTCTACCTAGACTTTCGGTACGAAGAGAATGCGCCTCAAATATGTGTTTACAAACGTACAGAGCAGCCGGCAGAGTGGCGGGCGCGAGTGAGGAACTCCGTTCGCTCGATCGGCTTGCTTTGTTCACGATTATAGGTTGCGATTCTTTGGTCACGAATATAGGTCGACCCTTCATTTTGGGGGATACTTCCGGTAAATAAAGGTTGACCTATTTTCGAATAAATACGGTAACTTTGCTGTTACTTTTTCGTTACTTTTACAAAAAAGTAATTAAGTTATCGTTACAGATACTTTTTGAAAAAGTAACAAGTTACAGTTACAAGATACCAAAAAAAGTAACGAGATACAGTATCTCGATACTAGTAACTAACTTTTGCCAAATCGAAAGTTCGGCACCGAATCTTCAGATTCGGCAAAGCCAAACTTTCGCCAAACTTTTCTAATGATTCGGCAAAGATTCGGCAAAAACACATTGTTACCAGACTTGACGTTGGTATTTAGTTTTTGCTGGGGAAAAAAGGTTTTTTTTTTTTTTCTTAACTTAAATGCAACATGTAATGTGTATTGACACAGTTATTACTAAATGAGGTGATATTCTACAAGATAATTGTATCGGTGTCGTTTTCGTGTGTTTACTGGCAGTTTTAATGACTCCTTGCAGAAGTGGCGTGAAAACGAGGTTGGGTAGAAGCAAGCGTCGCGCAGTGGTGCAGTCACGAATCACGCTACGAGAGTTTCAGTTTTGAGGCATTATCAGCGCAAGCCTGCATGTGTGTGTACATTGTTAAAATCAAGGCAATAACGCTGCGTTCTTGCTTTCTTTGACAGTCAATGGTTTGCGCGCACGCGAAAACGAATGCAACGGTTGCTGAGCCTTCATCAAAAGAGTTAATAATATTATTGTAAATATGCATGTTTTTTTATTTGATTCACTTGACGTTTGCATGAAAGTGGCGTCCCATATTCACAACGTCTCGTTTTTAACCTTTAAAATACCAGTTTCTGGTGTTAGGACACACACAAACGTTTAGGAAGACAGGGAGAGTTAGGCATGTCGGATGTGCAACGTCGAGCATTATAATTCTGTGTTTAGTTTTATGCAGGTACTTGAAAATCGCAAAATAACGCTAACTGAAAGAACAATATTATTTTGTTTTGACACACACTACTTCTGAGCCGAAAACAGAATTGCTATAATTGCGAGGAGTGCCTTAAAGTAATTGTCGGTCAATGTTTCAACTACCTCGTGGCATCACTGGAAATGTCAAAGGAAAATCACGTTATCAAGAATGTACCGCATCATTTCTAACTTGCGCAGTGGACTGCGTAAATCACTGGTCGATCTTCTATTCTTGAGGCAGGTAATAATGAAGAGAACCACACACGCTCACAAATGCACAGTTACCGCGTTGCCTACTCTTACCTCACCGTAACTGCTGGTGGTACTACACTGCATGATGGTAACCGCACGACTGCACGCGTCCATTTGCAATCCATGGCCCCGTCGCGTTCTCGCGCGTGCGCACACATTGCACTATATGCGCGTGAATTAGGATTTTCTTGTTCAATCGGGAATTTCATAAAATCAAGCTTCACTGTGCATCATTACTTAGGCTACTCGCTGTTCATGAACACGGAAAATAAACAAATGAATGAATGAACTGTAGTTCCCCTTGGGGCACTGATCTACAAAGCTGAACAAGTTCATAGATGATACGTGACGGAGAACAGGGATCATTGGGGGTGCTAAGCCAAATCAACTATTACAGAGCACAAGACAGCCAAGAGCTGAATTACGGGCTCTTTGGGATTGCATATTAGACGCCCTTTGAGTACTGGGCCCACATATACTTCTTACTTGTGTTGTACTTACTGCCTGCCCGCTCTCGGCTAAACTCTGGCAGGAAATATCTATTTTACATGGAGTGCCATCTGCGAAGAAACAATAGAAGCTATTTTTCCTTATGTGGTATCAACGACGGAACCGTCCTTACGGGTGGCCCCTAAGGTCAAGATTTTAACTTCTCGATTTATTTGAACACCGCAAATCGACATGGTTCAAATTCCCTGGTGGATACCGAGATTCAGAAATTACCATTGAACTCAAACCCAAACAAAGAAGTTGCGCTTCTGGGTGATAAGGATAAATCATTGCAACATGAGAAGCTGCTTAAAAAGAAAAAAGAGTGGCCTCAACATGCGAGGTGCCATTTTGTATATTACAGCCAGCGGCAATATGAGCTGGCCCAGTTTAGAACTAGCCAAAATGGGCAAAATGCTGCATAGTGTGCATTAGGCATGATAAGCTGTGAAACCGAGTGCCACAGAGTGACAATAGGAAATGGGGCAGTTAATTTCCCTGGCAGTTATTGAGCCCCAAAGGTCGTGTGGTGTCTTGGCTGTAGATGAGCAACTTGGCAAGTGCAGTACAAGTGCTAACCTGGGGTCTTTAACATGCGTTATGCAATAAAGACACACGACTGCACGCTGTTGAGATGCTTGTCCAGATCGAAACAGACGGGTGGGCACTGAACTCGGGGTTCCTGGGTTCTGCAGCGCAAGCTTTTGTTCCACATGCTCCAAGCTGGTGTGCGCTAGCCCCCTCGGCCACCATTCCCCCTGCTTTATCTTTGGCCGTCGCTCTTGTTGAGCGAGGGTTTGTGCAGCCGAGCTGCCTCCTTCAGCAAAGAGCTGGCGCTTGTTGCCTTGTGGTGGTATTGTTGTTCTGGCTGATTTGCTCAAGAAAGGGCTGAGAAGCAAATATTTAGACGAAGCAATACTCAGTCTAAAAGAAGATAGAATAGCACAATATCTGTCAACATTTTATACGAGCAGCGCTCTTGTTCAAGCAGCAATGTATCGACGATATGAAACTATAATTTACAGCGCATATAGCGCTTCAGGCATGGGAACGAGGGCTTGCAGTCGCGGGATGCTTGCGATTTGCATCCCAGAGAGTAGCGGGCTGCTTGTTTGAGACCCTTGTCCTAGGTGATACTGAAAAGGACTGCATTGTTTTTTTTTTAAATAATGTTGAGTCGGAGTTGCCCTTTAAAGTGAAACGGAGCAGTAGCAGTACCTTGTGTGTCAAATATGTCGCCCATGCAACCATTTTGTTTGTTTATTTGTTCATGATTTTTGTTCCCCCAGGTATGCCACCAGATCCGAGGGATCCACCTTCATTTGGCTGGAACTGACCGACCCCCATCAAAGTCGCTGCCATCATTACATTCTTCTTTGTGCCGTTTTCTTTTCTCACCGAAACGTTGACATTAAAGTGATCTCCACTTTCCTTTTGAATTCCCTTCGTTCTCTGAGAGTTGTGTGGAGGCAGCCACGACATTGTAAACTTTAGTCTGGTCAGTGGCATCAGAACAAAAAAAGCAGGAGGGGCAGCCACCGCCACCCCCTACAAAAGAATTTGGTGGAAAAAAAGGAAGATCCCCCTCCTCCCTCCTGTCACCCCTTCCCCCAACCACTTCTATTGTCTTCGAAACTGGTGCATTTCCCAGAGTGTAGACATTGGGTGTTGTGGATCTTGGATATTTGTGTGTTTGCGCTGAAAATCCTGTACCATAAAGGTCTCCAACTTATTCTGGGAGTATAACGGTTTCTCTAACCAAGCGAAACATAGAAACGGGTCACTGCGGCTTCCACAAAGGCAACAATAGAAATGCTGTAGTCAAGAGAGATCTTTAAAGTAGGGCATGAGCTTTATTAGGCGATTCCTACTTTGGTTGTTTGACACCGTGAGGGATTTAATTCCCTCACGGTGTCCATTCCCATGAACATTTCCCATGTATTTTGTCAATAAAGGCAACGTGTGCGTTGTTTTGTTTACATGCCGCTACTAGAAGCTTGTTACATGGCACGCAAACAGCATCTCGGTAAGGATCATGGCCCGGGCCTGAGGGGGGGGGTGGGGGGGGTTGGTATGCGCACTGTTTCCAGACTGGCACCCAACTGTATTTTCTACACACACTGGTAAGGCAAGGAGTAGATGCGTGTCTTTGCAACTTCACTTCTCGAAAGTTCCGCAGCGTTCTCGAACCACACAACTGCCGTCGTAGTTTCGGTAGAGGCCAGAGGCGCAGAAACCACCGGCTGACGCTGTCTCTCATGGACCAGCCTGAATGCGGGAGATTGCGGAGCCGGCAGTCTCGCTCGCCGCAACTGCTGCTCACGCGCCTCTTGTACACCTCTCCGGTGTCGCAGTCCTGGGGTCGTCGGCCTGCGGGAGAACGGGTTGCTGTCAGTTCGCATCATTACAGTATAGGGTGTTTTCACGGATGTAAAGGCGTCCACTAGTTTGTTCTGAGTTGTCTGGCGTGTGCCCTGGACGCAATATTTAAGGGCCCTGTTTAGAGCTCATTCCCAGACCAGCTCACAATAAAGGGGTCATGAAACGCTTTTCCAACTTTTTACTCTTTAGGTTTCCTCCTCAACTCATAAATTGCGCATTCTACCAAACAGTTCAAGAAGACGGAAAGCGAGGAGGCCCCTCTTGCTTGGGCCCGTTTGTGTAGCCGGACACAGCCATTCTCACCCTAAAAGAATAGCCCGTTGCTCAAAATTCAGGCAAATGTTGCTTTCCCCACGCTGATGCTGACAGTGTGTTGAGGCTACCTGCTCCTTGGGCCAGCCACACTTTCGCCACGTGATCACGCTCTCTCGCGCATACCCACGCGCAGAGAATGAGGTCAGGTGATGAAAGGGAGGCGGCTGATTGGTCCGACGAGCGCGTAGGTTCCACCACAATGTCAGCTTAGGGGTGAAGGGATGAAGTGAGGTCCGGTGTTGTGTGACGTGCGTTTGGTTCGGTGACACGCTTTGGGGACCGCTGATGTATCGCAGTGAAAAGACAGAACTTGCGAAGGGAAGGAGGTACGAAATAGTCCGCAGCATTTTCAAATTTTTCGTACCGAATGTCAGGCTTTTGTCTTTATACATTTTTTTCTTTTGATCCACTGAATGATGTGCTATTAGTAAAATCCCAATCTAAATTGGTTTATCCCAGCCCAAAATTTGTTTCATGGGCCCTTTAATAGGCTGCCCACAGCTATGGCCGCCAGTGAATGCTCCCTACTAGTGCACATGTTTTATTAGCCGAGATTGAAAGCCAGGCGTCTGGAGAAATGAATGTTTCAACAACAAAATAACGGGTTAGTGTCGCATAAAAACTCCTTTAGACCTGAAAATATTGTTGATTATGCCATGCTCAAATATTACAACAAAAGCTATAAAACTCGCTGTTTGGGTATACACTGCACATTTTCCTGTAGGCTATATACAGTAAAACCTCGTTATAACAAAGTTGAAGGAGCGGTCGTAATTATTGCGTTATATCCATTAGTTTGTTATAGCTAATGTCCATTTCTTCCCACTTTTAGCAAGCAAGGGAAATTATGATTGCTTTGTTATATCCATTAGTTTGTTATATCCCATTTTGTTATAACGAGGTTTTACTGTAGCACGGTGCAGGGTATTTTCACTGGACGGCATATTTGAGGGCGCTGCTTAGAGTGCATGCTCAGAACGAGCTCACGTTAATAGGCTGCCAAGACCGGCAGTTTTGATGGTGTGAAATGCACGTTACAAAAAGAACTGGAAGCTTGCCATCAGCACGCACTCAGCAATCATACACACAGCTATGGCCGCCAGTGAGTACTCCTTATTTGCCCCTTTTTTGTTTGGCAACAAACTCGGTGCCATTTATTGGGTAGCTTCGGCACACTTCTGGTTCACGTATATTTTCTAATTTTTTACTCATTCTTTTATCTTGAAGGGATGCTGAACCAAACATTTCAGTGTCTATAATAAGTGGCGCACGAGCCATCAGCCACCGCTGTGTGCAAGCACACGCAACGAAATTGACGTCGTCACACTTGATAAGTTTGAATGGATGACAAGATTTTGTCAATTTCGTTGCGTGCTCTCGTGCACACTGGCGGCTGCTGGCTCGTGGAATTCAAGCTCGCGTTTGATTCCGTTGTTGCAGGACGCGATTTCTGTAAGAAAATCTCTCTTTCGGTTTCACTGTACGAATGACACATCGTAGCAGACATACCCTCGTAGTCTGCTCCCACTCCTCATCGGAGCGAGGCATGACAAGATTGCATTTTGGCGCATGCACAATTTCCTCGGTGCAGCGAGTGCATGTACGCGTGGGGTGCTACCACTGAAACAAACTCGGAGAGTGCAACCACTCGTGGAGTGCCAGCCGAAACAAACCTGCTCCACGCTGCGAGTGGGCACGCGTGGACACGAGTGAAGATGGTGGCGATTAGGGCCGCTTGAAGCGCCGATAGAGGTGAGTCTGGCAGTGCTCTTGTCACGTGATCGCTGCCATCTAATGATGCTCACCAAATCAAGACATGATCGGCTAGAGTGAGTATGTTGTCGGCGTTGTCGGCAAAACGCAAAAAGAAAAGGAATATGCTACTCCGGGAACCCATATAATGAGATCTAGTCGTTACTCAGTAGCATACCATATTTAGTGGCACTAGATTCGAGCGCTTTCGGCGAGCAGGTTTGGCTTGGCGGTTTTACGACGACGACGAGATCGCCAGTAGTGCAACGAATACAATGGAATGCATGTGTTGCTACAGCCCATGCTTTAGTGGCGCCCTCTCGTGCCTTTGACATGATGTGGGGCAGAAGTGAGTGCTCGCTAAGCTCACTACCACTCCTCTAGTTCACCTTGGCAGCGGCTAAAAAAGATTTACCGATGAAAATGATCTGTTTGCCGTTAGGGGCTCCCTGGTCTGGGATTGAATGATTGAGTTACGTTGCCTCCTTTCTTATGCTCTCTCACTCTACACATTTGCTACCACCGTATTGGTTGGTTAATTTGGTTGTGGCAGGTGATGCAAATAAGCTGGGTTTACATTGTTATCTTTTTATTATTGTCAAGTACCTACCATCTGGCCTATGGTGCCTGGAGTGCGTCTTCGACTGGTGCATTTACGCGTTTTATGTCGCCCATGGTCCTGAATTGGCAGCGAATGAGGTCACAGAAGCCAGAGTGTCATGCTGTTGCATGTCGCGATCCTGGCGGTTGGCCGTAGAAATGCTAACGAGAAGCTACAAGTAGCACAACCAAATGCTAGTGTCGCACTCGTCACAAAGTCCCAACTTCTGGCTGCCGAAGCTTACGTGGACTGCCACACCGGAGAGCAACCTGCAGGAGGACAGGCATCTGCCATATAAAACATAGCTGTTAAGATGCCGGCCGAGTGCCAAGTGGCCGGCGGTGGCCAAGTGGGCTAGCGTACGTCAGCTCAGAGCACGTGGAGCGAAAGCTTGCGCTGCAGAACCCAAGGATCCGGGGTTCCATCCCCACCGTGCCCGTTTCGATCTGGATGAGCATCGTACCGGCATGTGGTCGTGTATCACTGTCGCGTGGTGCACGTTAAAGACCCCAGGCTAGCGGTTGTACTGCACGGGCTAAATTTCTCATCTACAGCTGGGAGACAAGTCGCCCATTAAAACAGACTAAGTTCTCACACCCTAATTTTTTTTTTTTTCTTGGTGGGCAAATAATTTGCAACTTTCAGCGATGACGGTACCGCGGTGTGAGAAACGCGCTCCCTAGCTCCTGGATGATTGGCTTCAGAATGAAAGTGCTCGCTTACACCTTCCTGACATGGAAGTATGAGGAAGGCTCCTATATTGCTTGTATTTCACAAAATTAATATTACTTAATTATGTGTTGCATACCCAGGCTCGTTCTGCTAATCTATGACAATCATCCAGATGGCAGCCATTTTTAAAGGAAATAGTGCGCCCCCTATAGATCGTGAAAGTTGCGAGTAGAGCCAGAGCGTTTCGTTTCGGCTCTTAGTGGCTTTCATAGAACCATAGAAGACGTTTGCCGAGCTCAGGCTTGAGGTGACAGCTCTGCTGTGGCCAGGGATGTGGCCGCAACGATTCCAACGTGGCCACCAATGTTACTGGAACACTCGGTTGAAAAACTCACCGTTGAAACCTGGGCCGTTGGCATCCACTGAGATGGAGTAGGATATGATAACAGCGCCACCTTTTAGCGACGAGTCGAAACATGAAAGTTGCCTTGGTTACTGCTAGGGTCACTGAATGGTCGCAGAGTACCTAAACTCCCAGGCTCGAGGTTCCAAGATGGCGGCTCAATCTTTTTTCTTTACTGTGGTCACCTTGAGCTTTTAGAAAGCATGTTTTTGCGTAAAAACAAAAAAAAAAAAAATTTCTTCTTGTAGGAACTTTTGTTGGAGTTTAGTACAAAATGACAGGCGTGTGATGTTTTCTAAACTCTTT